ATATACGTATATATATATACATACACACACACACACACACACACACACATATATATAGACACACACACAATTTTAAATGTCAATAAAAAATTTTTTAAGTAATCTGAAAAGTCATTAGGAATCAAATCCTAGGAGGTCTTTAAGATTAGGACTTTATGTATCAACTATCAAACTAACTCAAATAAATTTATGTGTCAATTTTTTTAAAACTAGGAATTTAACCTATATTTGGTTAGCAAAGTGCAACCATAGCATGGCCAACCCAATTTGAGTTTTCAGGTTTATAAATGACTGTTTTGTATTTTCATAAACATTCTTCTACTTTACAATAAATGTCTCTGTCCCCCACAACCTGATTTCCCCTCACTGCTTAGCCACATTCTTTCAAAATCCTGTCCGCACCCCTTCCCCCGACCCAGAGTGCCTTCTACCCTGGCTCACCTCTGTGTGAACATCTCCTTGCAGAGAGGCATCACTGAGCTCATCTCAAGGCCTCTGATCTTCTAACCTCCCTGTGCCTCTCCCGATTTAAATCCAGTGGTTCTGTGGAGGCCTAGCTGATGTGTGCTCTTCCCAAGACGCCTCTGTCTACTCCAGCCTGCCCTTCGTCTCCCTCTCCTAGATCCCATAGTTTCTATACAAATTCTACAATATGTTGCTCAGCATCTAAAATTCAATCTTGTATGGTTCTGGACTCTCCAACTAAACCAGAAATTCTCATATTACAGATATGGAATAGAAGGGCCCATATACTTCACTTTTGTATCCCTTAAAGCACAAAGTACCAAAAGATATACACTAGTTGTTCTTGATAACTGGAAATGCAAACATATTCTTTGGCCCAGAAATTTCATTTCTAGAAATTTATCCTACTGATCTATTCAGACTAATATGCAAAATATTATGATCAAATATATCCCCTATAGATTACAAAAAGTAAAAATTTTAAAATAACTTACGTATCTACTAAGACTTGTTAATTTGAATCTATACTTCCCATTAAAAAAAAAAAAAAACTTGGGTCACTTATACACATGGACCATAAAGTAGTAAATAAAAAGGCGGCAGAAAAGAGTGTAAAACTGGTCTTCCTTTAACTAATTTGCTTAATATTTATCCACACACAATCAGAACAGAAATTTTAGAAAGATAATCTTTGGTAAGTAGAATGGACTTTACACTCTGTCAAAAAAAAAAAAAAAAAAAAAAAAAAAGAACACATATGATATGTGTTGGAAAGTGTATTTATATTTTTAACTCATTGCCTCCAAAATAGTAATTTACCACATTATATCATAAACCCATTTTAGGGACCAGCAGTAATAGTTACGTCGCTGGACTCCCACGTAGTTGACCACGGTTTGAGTCCTGAACCAGGTGTCTTAAAACTCACTCCGGGTCATGCTGGAAAAAGGAATGTTATACACTGTAAAGATATGTGATTAAATGTAATAAAAGAAAAAATTAAAAATTAAAAAAATTTTAATTAAAAAACTCATGCCAGGCACATGTGCGTGCATACCCAAGATCCCGAGAGGAGAATGGAGAAGGGACTACAGCGTGGCCATCAGCCCTGAGGGGTGACTTCTCGCTTTCTATCTGTCTCTCTGTCATTCTGGCAAGCACATGTACTCTATAACAAAAATCTCTCTAAATTTTTTTTCTAAATAAACCATTTTATTTAAAACAAAATTGGGTCAGCTCCATGGCCAGCTGGTCAGGCAGTCAGATTTCACAAGCCCACCCTGCAGTTGGAGTCCTGGAACTGTTGGCTTGAGATGTTTGGCAGTCATTCTGGCATGTGTGTGTGTGTGTGTGTGTGTATGTGTGTGTGTATGTGTGTGTCCCAAATCCCGGTAAAATAGAGAAATAGAGAAGGGATTGTGGCGTGAATATACCTGGCAGCAGGTGTGGGGAGGAGGTCCTTTCTCCCTCTCTGTCTCTCCCTGGTGGGTGCACACACCCTCTAGCAAAATTATTAAAATAAAAAACCCAAGTTATTTCTAGAAGAGAAAGTACAGGAAACTCTCATATTGTAGGGTAGATATCTGCTTTTCTTTAAATAATGAACATGTAACGTTAGTTATAACAAAAGGAGGTTTTAAATACCATATTTCTCAAGTTAGTCATCATCCCAGAGAAGTAGGTGTGCTTTTCTTTAAATAATGAACATGTAACGTTAGTTATAACAAAAGGAGGTTTTAAATACCATATTTCTCTGAGTTAGTCATCATCCCAGAGAAGTAAGTAGGTGGTCCACAATACCTTTTCTAGCAACTTCTTAATCTATAGAGAACCAGCTTTACTGTTGGATTGCCCATTATTCTAATGAAACTGAGTAGTGACCCTCAAAAAGGGCCTGGTACTAGCTCTCCCCTTTTTCTATTCAGAAAAGAAATGGAAATTAACAGGACCAAGGCTAAACAAGGAGTAAATCATAGCAGGCACTAGCTATTAGGGAGTAGTTGAGACACGAGTAAATTTATCAATTTAGGCTGTAAGGTTCCAAAACCTCCACTTAAAGGAAAAAGATTTTAACTAAAATTCTCGAGATGTTTCTTAGGCTAGAGAACACGTAGACTCCCAACTGAATGAGACTGTATGACGTCATAATTGTCCCTCGAAGCCTGACTACTGAATATCCCTCCAATCAAGAAAACCCACAAGATGATCATCTTCTTGAGTCAAGATCAAAAAACCCGCAAGATGATCATCCTCTTGAGTCAAGCAGCAGAGATCCTCACCCTTCTGTCTTTCAAAATGCATGCCTACAGGTCTTTGAGACCTGCAGCATCAGTTGTCTGCTCTCCTTGCTTTCAGCATCCCAATAAAACTGAACTTTCACCAAAACTCCAGGTCGTGGGTCACCTTTGGCTTTGTCAAGATAGGCAAGTGACCCAGTTTGTGTTGGATAATACGGAGTAAGCATTACAGATAAATCATGCCAACAAATTAAAATTGTAGAATTTATTAACAGAAAATCTACTTCTTTGCTAGGTAAGTGTTGTCTGTTTGATGAAGGATCCCTCCAATGAAAAGTCAACCTCAGTATTTACTGAGTTACTATATAGTGCCAGGCATTGCACTGGTCCCTCATAGTAACAGATCTGTCTTCAAGTCTCTTATAAATATCTAGAGTTAACATAAATTTGTCCAGGGCCCTTGCCTCAAGGCCAAAGCTAGAGAGGAGACAGCAATCTACTTAGCTTTACTGGAACAACAGGAATTTAGGCTATCTCCATCCTCCTACAAGCCCTGCTCTAGTGTGGCACTTAAACATGTGCACTTAAGAGTCAAAGCCTTCTCCAGTAAGCTTAATGAAAACAGAAGAGGCGGAGTTGTCTTTCCTCCTATTACTCCAAACCTTTTCCTTTTCAGCCAGGACACTGAGATCTAACTGCCTTTTGGTTTTCCCCAGACTTACTACCGAATATAACAGCTTATACCTATTGATGCTATCTGCTTGACCTGTATTAACCCATTTATACTCCAAATAACTCTGTGATGTATTTCACAGATGAAGAACTGGAAATTCAAGGTCGTAACTAGTAGGCAGCAACACCAGGATTGAAACCCAGAGATTCAAATTCCTCAATATAACATTTATCACGCAGCGCTTATCTCTGATGACTTCTCTCAGCCTACAAACCATTTGAAATTTTCAGACTGGAAAGCGCCTAGGTCTTAGTAACAAAGTTGAAAGTCAACAGGTCACCTGAATCCTACCTTTTCTCATGGAAATGTTGTTGGTCCTGGTATGTTTAGACAGCTGGGAACTATGAAACTTAATTTGCAAAATGTGTGTGTTTGCCGGGCCTTGTCTTAACTTTTGAAAAAGTGCCTATGGTAATAAACATACAACCTCTTAATCAAGCGAAAAAAATAACTGGGATTAGATGCAGGGATACTTCACCTGTACCCTAAAATTTAAAGGTATGCATGAAAAACTTGTAAGCCTGAATAACCAGAAAATCAGGAGTGACTGTTTTTACGATTATTACTGCTACCTTGTGAATGTTTCACCATCAGTACTGTCAGGATATGGAGTAATTGACAATATCAAATTCAAAACCCTAAACATGATCCAGGAATTAATATGCTGACATAAAACAAAATTAAACAACAAAAACATATACTTTGACTAAATTTATGAAAGTGACAAGTTGTATATGATTAAAACACAAAAATTGGTAAATATATCAAAGAAATGATCACACAGCTTGATCACTACACAAGAAAGAATGCTATTAACAATTAGTCTGTCTCATAAAAACACAATCATTGTATCTGCTTCCATGTGAAGTACAATAATTTGAAATATGAAAGGAATAAAAATCCTTAGGTGAATATAACCACTTACTAATCTTTTATTGGGTAAACTCAGGTACTCAAGGGATTGTGCAATGTGCAGGGTCAGCCAATGGCGTAGGGATTATAACGCTGACTGGGTTAGAGTTCCAGGCAGGTGGCTTAAAATTCACTCCAGGTGTAGATGAATGCATGCCCAAGATACCAGTAGAAGAGATTAGCCCTGGCCATTCCCTCTGAGAAGTGAGGTCTCACTTTCCCTCTCTCTGCCTCCCGGGAGAGTGCATATGCCTTAAGGCAAAAACCTCTTAAGGAAAAAAAAAAGGCAGTGCGTAGGCATGGAAGACTGGCCTTTAGGCTGCGTGTCCTGCGCCCTGCGGTGTGGGAGGCGGGCTCCCTGGCAGAGGCCACCAGCCAGAAGTACAGGCTCCAGGTGGGAGGACCACACACGACATACGACGTATCAGGCCATTCAGGGTCACAACTCTCTGCGGTAAGGAGGACTAGTTGGGCTTTTTCTTCAGATGAGGAAACTGAGGCCCACACGAGAAGTTGAGTAATCACGCCTTAGGGGCGCGGGGCTCGGAACTCAGAGGCAGAAGAGGCTGGAAACCGCCGGGGTCTAAGGTCCAGTCCTCAGCCTCTGGGCGGGGCACGTCAATGACACCAACACGTGGGGCGAGATACAGTACCAGTGGGCAGCAGAGGCTCCAACGGGGTAAAGGCATGCTCCATAGCGGATTATTGGCCTCTGCATTAAAAAAAGATATGCAAAGTTAGAATTTCTCAAGACAAAACCCCGCGCGAGTGCCGGTTCACTCGCCGCTGGACTCTCGGCAATGCCCAGGCGGCGAGCTCCGGGGCTGACGGCGACCCCGACCCTCAGGGTTCGAGGACAGGAAGGAGCGAGCAGCCAGGGCCGCCCTCCGACCTGTCTCCGCGCGCCGTCACCATCCGGGGCCTGGGGTGCCGGGGACGAGGGGCGGCCCGAGAGCCGGGCGAGGCGATCGCAGGCGGCAGGAGTGACGGCAATCGACAGCTCGGCGCTCGGCCGGGGAGCCTGGAGCCGCGCGCCCGCAGGTTTAAGTCCGGGCGCGAAGAGGCCACGCCCCCTTCCGGGAGGCCGGCGGCCTGTGCGAGGTTCCCTCGGGCCTGAGTCCCTGCGGCCCTCCCGCCTCCTGCGTCCGGCTTGGCCTGGTCTGGGCCAGGTGTACCGCTGTGTGCTGAGCCCTCATCCCTCGACTTCAGGAAGCGGAGCGCCATTTAGGCACAGAACCTCGCGCGCACTCCCCGTGTCCTCCTCCCACCTGGCCTGCAGCCAGCCGGCCCCCGAAGTTTTCCAGGACTCCTAGGTCTTTACTCGGTTCTCTCCCAACACTGCTTCCTTTAAGGCTATCCTTCCTTCTCTGTGTGGAAACAATCACAGCTCGTGTTGTTGGGAAAAGCTTAAAATACTTACAGGTGCGCCAAGACTTCCACGGTGAAACTCGAGGACGGCAGGGTCCAGAAAAACTCGTGTGGGGAAAAGAGCCCCCGTGGACCTGCCACTCCTTGGCCCTCTGGCTCCTCAAGGCTCTGGGCTGAGCCTGAGAAAGTGACTTGCAGTGAACCCGAGAAAAGCATGCAGCTTTGGGAGTCTGCAAGAAATCACGGCCAGAAGAAGTGGCAAGCCTAAATGCTTTTATATACTGCAATTAGCTACAAGAGTCAGAAGTCCGTGTTTAAGTGCTGTTGGTGAAAAAGACAAACGTGATACAAGGAACATAGTCGTACATGTACAGCCAAGTAGTTGCTATACTTACACAATTACAAGTCTATTAGTGTGAGGCAAACCTGATAATCACGAATATACCCAGGAAAATTGTGGAAGATATTCAAATGACAAAAACATTCAGATAAGCAAGCTTGAACAATGAGCTAAAAAGTTTACCTACCAGATTGCAAATGATCTTTACAGTAATAATTAACTCTCTATGTATTGAGTACGTTTTAGCCACTGCTCAGGGCGTGCACACACATGTACACATATTGCTCTATGTGATTGTTTATATATACATACATATTTTTATTTATTTTTTCCTTGAGGTTGAGAGAAACAGCCAGCCACTCCCCACAGTGTCTCATTACTCTGGCATCACCCCTCTCCCCCAGTCTTCCAGCCAACCAACATCACTGGTTGGTACTCACCTAGCATGTTTCCAGTCAACCCAGTACCCAAAATTGCCATACTCTTATCTGGCTCCAGCATTACAAAGCAGTGCCCTAACACACACCTCTGCCACTGCGCCTGAGCCTATTTTATTCAATTACTCTAAAATGCAGGTTTTAAGATAACAAGGACCAAAATGTAGTTGTTCACGTTTGAATTCACAACCTATGTCTCAGCTGCTAGTAAAGAGTAAGCAATCAATGAGCCTTTATCTCATGCTCATATTGAAGGAGAGCTGCCTCCTGATTTTGATTACTTCAAACCCAGGGCAGTGGGGAACAGCTCAGAGGAGTTCTCTCTGAAACTCCCTTATCAACTTAAAGATAGATTCACCCAAAAAGAACCTTGATGGTTATGAGTCTCCTTCTGGGGAAATACCAGCCAGGGAAGGGTCCTTATCACTGGGAAAAGGACTGCGAGTTGGAGCCACTTTGAGACAGACTGTTACAGGCTGTGACCTATTTAACTTTTCAAGTTTCCTGCACCCCTTCTTCCTTCTCCCCTATGAAAATACAAAGCTTCTAGATTTCACTAGGTTATTGGACACTCTTCTTTCTGGTGATGCCCCTGTGCATGTAATTTATTTGTATGCCTCTTCTCCTATTCATTGATCTACTATCAGATCCTCCCATAGACCCAGTTATTGAACTTTCAGAGGGTAAAGAGAAAGTTTTAGTTTCCCCTGCAATACTGGAATTGTTCACAATAGCATGAAATGCTACTTCCCCAGCTCTTCTCACAGTCTCTCATCACGAAAGCCTCAGCACAAAACTGACCCCACCCCACCACCTTATTCTTTATCTTATCTATGATTATTAGTTTTTCTGCATAGTTAAAATTACAATCCATAGTTACTCACTTCTTGTTCATGATTTATTACTCCCTACTAGAATGCTAGCTCCCTAAGAACATGAAATGTTTTGTGTACTGTTATTTCTCCAGTCAAGCAGAACACCTCACCTAATGGAGGTTCAATAAATATTTGTGAAATGGATTAACACATGGAGAGAGAAAATAAATAGAAAATTATGGTACCTCATATCAGGAGTTGTTTCTTACAGTATGCTAAATCCATATGCCCCATGTGGAAAAATGTCGAGAGTAAATTTTATAAATGCAAGTGGTAGAAGAATCTTATCTACATTCTAAATGTAAATGTATTTGGATTTTTATTCTTTCTTATACTTTGTATTTGATCATAGTAATACTTTTTTTCCTAATAAGCACAAGTAAATTTAAGTTTAAAAATGTATACAAAAAGTAAACTAATAAGTCATTGTTAGTCATCTTTGGCATGTTTTGGGCTTCTAAGGAAAACTACATATATACAGAGTATAATTTTCTGGGGAGAGATTTCAGTTTTCATCAAATTTTCAATGATTCTTTGGCCCCAGAAGATTAATTCTGTAGGTGTAAAGGTCTACACAAAATGCCTTCACAAAGTGATGTCAACCTAAAAAGAAGGCTGGGGTATATTAAGTGAAATAAAAGTAGTTTATTTGAGCCAGAGCTTACTTAAGGTAAATCACCCAGATGAACAAATTTCTGGTTTCCCAGAAACTGTCAATATATATGTTCATCAAAATGGCAACCAAGAAATCTTATTTATGTAACAAAAACTGCAGAGGAGGTTGTTACAAGTTATTAATAGTTTGCATTGGTTAATTTGTAATAATACAGACAACTGATAGGCTATATCATATTCTTTTTTTAGAGAGAGATTTTTGCATGCACTTGCCGCAGAGAGAGAGAGAGACAGAGACACAGAAAGCAAGAGATCAACTCCCAGGGGGAATGGCCACACCACAATCCCTTCTCCTCCATTCACCTCTCAAGATTTTGGGCATGCACACACACTCACCTAGCGATGTATATGGTAATATCTTTGACCTGATTGACATGCAATGCATGTATGCTTTGAAAATAATATTGTACACTATAGGGATGTACAATAATTAAATGTAAATAAAAATGAATAAAACAGAACTATGCATAGATTTCAAACATTTTCTGTCCTAAATTAAAATCATACTTTAAAAGAAAAAAATTTTTAAATTAAAGCCAATGAAATTTCTGTATTTAAAAGTCAAACAAAATATCTTAGATATTTTTCCACCATTTCTGAAGCTCTTTATTTATGTAGGCTCAAATTCTTATCTTGTAATATTTTCCTTCATCCTGAAAAACTACTATTGACATTTTTTATGGAACACATGTAGTACTGATTAATTTTCTCAACTTTTATGTATTCAAAATCATTTTGGGACCAGCAGTTAGTGTAATGGCTATGTTGCTGGACTCCCACGTAGTCGAACGCGGTTCAGGTCCTGGACCCAGCGGCTTAAACTCAGGCCGGACGCGTGTGCGTGCATGCCCAAGATCCCAAGAGGAGAATGAAGGAGAAGAGATTGCGGCGTGGCCATCCCTCCTGGGGGGTGATTTCTCGCTTTCTATCTCTCTGTCTCTCTCTGTCTTTCTGGCAATCGCACGCGCCCTATAGCGAAAACCTCTCAAAAAAAAAAAATCATTTTACTCACCTTCATCTCTGATAT